AAACATTCATGATAGGTCAAAATTTATACATGGCTTGTTGTATACAGGTGTGTGTGTTAATATTGCATTGTTTGATGGCTATGAATAGTGCCTATGATGATCTGCGGCGGTTCTGTACTGTTGTCACTGTGTACTTGCCTGCGATTGTGAAGTCCGCGTTATTATTATTCATGATATAAGGATCGTGTTAGCTGTCGTTGCGATTGTTTGTATTTTGGTTTAGTCCTGTTTGAACTCGATTCTGTGGTGTGTGTTCTCTTGGCGATGTTCAGACAGTAATGGTTTAATTTCCACATGCTTCGCTAAATTCCTACATGACAAAATGAGGTGTCTTATGTCTTATGCCAGCTTTGCAGACAGCGGATTTTTTAGGTTTAGTTATTTTGCAAGGTTGTGATGTTATTCTTACAAAACTGATACTCGCGTGGTGTTAGAAGGCTAGAATAAGACTGCCCAACAGTCATTAGTAGCGAAAAGACCTCCAAACTAAAAAACATTACAATGTTTGCTGTTGCGCTGTGGCAGGTTGATTATGGAGATAATGTCGCGATATTAACGATTACAATAATAGCTGTTATGATGGAGTGGCGCTGGATTAATCAGAGTTTTGCCAAGTGGGATTACGGTGTGCAGTTTATGTAGTATGTGTAATAGTCGCGATTGCATTGATATTTTAGAGTAATGGTAAGTCTACTAACGTGCGATAAAAATAGATGCTAACTCGTAAAAGATAGATCCCTTCATGAGCTGCATAAGACATAAGACACCTATTGTCAATGTAGAATTTTAGGAAGCATGTAGGAAATACATTTGCTTAAACTTCGCAGAGGACAAGCAGAAAATGGTGTAAACAGGATAAACAAAAGAATAAACTGAAAGACGCTAACGTTCCTCTATCTCTATATAATTAAATAAAGGACTTTAATGAGGCAAGTAAAACAGTGAAAGTTACAAACCGCGCTGTATAAAGGATATTGCACAACATGGCTAAGTGACAACACCTGTATGAATAAAGATGTGTATAGTTGTGAGCCGCTTCATGTTGTGTTGTCCTATGTATACTGGCAAAAAGCTCTCGTGTGAGCAGGTATCATTTGCGTCAGTATTGTTATGTATTAGAGAAGAGCGGTCGTGAAGTATAATCGCTATGAAATCAGGTAGTTGAATCCGAGGTGTGTCCTAGTAGCAGCTAAGCCTACGTCTGATGCGATTACTCGCTTCCCTCATTTGTCCCCAGAAGAGACAGTGAACGGTCATTCAAAAAAGCGAAGAGCATGTGAGTTAATCAAGTCTCTTCGCCCGCTCTTCGGCGGCCTCAGAAAGGAAGTATCACCAAACTCTTCATCGTGTGTTAGCGAGACCAAACACTAGAACAGCATTTCTCGAGTCAGAAACGTTATTGTAGAATATGGATCCTAGAAGAAGGTAGTAGTTCTATAACTGCTGTTTGTTATGGTGATAGTAAGTTGGTGATATCGAAATTGCCTAGGACTAGAGTATTGAGATCCTGAGCGTCACTGTCAGTGGTGTCCACGATACGGTCGTTTACCAGGTCCGGTCTGGTTTGATTATGACTATCTATGCAGTTCATCTCAAACAGAAATTGGGATCGACATTATTGATCATATTATAGAGACGACCAGCATAAGGCCACTATTTGTATGATACTATGTAGGCCACTATGTTGTTAGCGACGGTTGAGAGAACACCTTAAGAGAAACTGGCTAATAATTAACGACTTAACAAACTGTTCGACTGAGACATATATATCCTGACCACACCGTGTGTTTATACGCGAAAGTGATCCATATACGCAGCATGCTGTTTGCCTTATCAGATGCT